TCAAAAAGTCAGGGTAGAAGGAAAAAGGTGCTGGGATTTTTGCTATTTTCCATATCGGCTCAGTAAGTTAACTGGTCACAAAATATGATTGAACATTTTCTCTATAAGGAGCTTTTTGCTAGAGCCTGCCAATGATACAATAAGAATATAGGAATTGCTTCAAGGGATTTTAAATTCTAGTTGGTAACAACAACAAAAAAAAAGAACCTAATACATATGAAATAAACTATATATATTAGCACAATATTTATATACACACATACACATAGTATTGCAATTAGATATTTCAAATAATTAACACCCTCCAAATATATACTTAGAACATTGAAAAACCAATATGAGTTGGAGGAATTGGAAAGCCTAGGCAGAAATTGTTTCTGAGGTGGATTTTTTTTTTTTAATTTCCAAAATTCCTAACTATCGCCGAGGCAAATTCATACAAGTATCTGAGTATTTAGATTGAGTTCAAATCCAAACTTGAGGACCAGAGAAACATATTTTCATCCTTTTGCTCTACTATTCTCAGCTCGTCACCTTCCTCTTCAGACAGACTTCTCATACCCTCACAAGAGGTTACAGTAATTTCAGGCATCATATCCAGCGTGACATAGGCCAGGGAAAAAGTGTCTATCTCTTCCTTAGATGAGTCAATAGCCACTCTTTGGGGCTGCATCAAGAGCATTCCTTCTCAGCAAGACATGACCACATGGAGAATGGTGGACACCTGAATAAAACTGGGGTTTACTTAGGAAGGATTTACTTAGAAAGAATGGAGATAAGATAAGGGCACATATTTTAGTTATCAGTATGGGCTACTACACTTGCCTTATCATAGATACTCTTGTGTTCTTATGTTTTTATATTTGGTATATAGTAAATATGTTTATGCACTTATTTTTATGGAAGAAAGGAAGGGAAAGAAAGAAAGCATTTTCATGTTATGTTTTGTTTATTCTTCTTTACTCAGCTAATACAGTTTTTCTGATTTGCTTCTATCAATTCCAGGCAGAGCACAATAAACATATCTTTGGGCCAAGCATTAGAATCTTGTTGTGGGAAACTGATTAGAGTTGGGTGGCCTCGGCTTCTTTCTTGGCAAGGGGTCAACTTAATGCAGTATTGTATTAAATAGCCCTTCAAATTCAAGAGCCAAAAAACAAAGTCCTTTGGAGCTAACACTTTTAAACAGTACCCAAATTAATGGAAAGTGCCCGCACTAATGAAATGAAACATCAGAGCTTTGGCAGGAGGTGATTGGCAGAAACACCGATGGCTTGATACATCTGTCTCCTGAAGGCATAAATGGATTCCTCCTTGTAAAAGAGAATGAATAACTGTGGCTGAAGCTAAAGCACTAGTCTAAAGAAAATGATTTCCTGCCTTTTGCCAGAGTACCTAGGAGCACAATTCTCAGCCTCATATCTTTGTGTCTACTAAATTAAGATCCTGGCTGTAAATATAAGAAAGATTCTACATCTGCATTCATGAATACTATACTATTTTTCAGTAAGAGAAGAAATGATAAATTAAATATTAACTTACTTAATTCTAGAAACAACACAATGAGATGTTTTATTGTTACCCAGTTTTACCATTGAGAAAACTGAAACGAAGAAAAAGTAAATGACACACAAGATCCTTCGTCTGGCTTATGTCAGAACCAGGATTTGAACCCAAAGTAATGAGTAGCTATTGGGCTGTCGTGCGTCTTGAGGGTTAAGTTTAATAACCCATAAATCAGTATATTTCTATCACTCACCCTTTGCCAAAAGCAAGCGATGTTCACCCTAATCTTTTTAAGAGAAATGAAAGTGGGCAACAGAGGACATCGTTTACATTGTTTATTGCAGTCACTACAGGTATTTTTTTGAGATAGTTTCTACTATTCTTATTTTATAGATAATTGAGACTTATCAGGATTGAATAAAAAGTCTCTCAAGTAGAAAGTGTCATATTTGGAATTTAAAACAAGATCTATCTGCTTTTATACCAGCTTTGTTTACCAACTTGCTTCTTTACTTGCTATTTAGCTAAAAATATCAAGTAAACAAACAAATATGAGGAGAACTTTTGGTATGTCTTGGTGTGTCCTGTATTGTCTAATAATGCTATTGTAAAGTCAAATATATTTCAGAGATTTAAATTCTTTTATAACTCTTATTAAATTTACTAGTCCAGAAGTAGCCTTAGATATTTGAATATAAGAGAAAAGATAGACTGAGAACCTGGGTGAATGATAACTTTGTAATTAAGCACAGGATCCTTCTGTAGCTGTAATAAAAAATTATGAATTGCTACTATATATATACATGCCAAGTGGGATGACAATTTGAGGATTAGGTTAAATTTCTTTTTATCCAAATTTTCTCTCCAGTGTCACAAACACCTATAATTTTACCAACATATCATTAGTATGTCTCTACAAACACTTCATTTAATAATTGGGAGGGACTTTAGGTGTGGGAAGATAAGCCTACATTCTCCTATTTCTCAAAAAAGGTATTGATGTTTTGTATAGTAATATGTCTATATGAGATTCCTTCTATAATGCATATTATTTATGTGTATAAACATAAAACATTTCATATATTTTAATATATGGATTACATAAAGCTTTTGATTGCTTTACATTCATTTCTCATATTTTCTCTATTACAACTATATAGGAATTTTCCATTTTGTGTATTAAAGGTCAGAGGAACAAGTAAAATCAATCTTAGGACTATATTTATAACCCGAGCCATTTTATCTTTTCCATTCACTGGGTTTCAAACCATCACTGGTCCACACAGAAACCCTGAATGAAAGCAAAATGTAGTAAATATTTTCAGAAGAGGACTTTCATTTTTTTTCCTTCTCTTAGAAACCTAAATCAATACCTGACCTTTTCACACCCCTATCAAGATAAAATGGAGTCTTTCTGCACTGACTTAGAACTATAAAGTATGTAGTAAAATCCATTTGTCTTGAGAGCTCTCTGTCCTTGGGTCACTGTGTGTGTGTGTATGTGTGTGTGTGTGTGTGTGTGTTAGGTGGGTATGTGTATGTATATGTGTGTGTGTGTTAGGTGGTGCATGTCAGTGTGTTTGTGTCAGGTGTGTATGTGTGCATGTATATGTGTATATACATAAATGTGTTAGGGGTGTATGTGTGTGTGTGAGGTAGGTATATATACATATATATGTGTGTTAGGTGGTACATGTCTGTGTGTTTGTAAGATGTGTATATGTGTGTATGTATATGTGTATATACATAAATATGTTAGCAATATATATGTGTGTGTGTGTGTGTGTGTGTGTATACCACTGCTTAAGCTGATTGGCCTATTCTTGGTCAGCGGTATTGCCACCATTACTAAATGTGAAACACTGTGTGGTTTACACAACGCTTTCACCTGTGTCATGTCACTGGAGTTTTCTGATTCCTTGAAATAGAAAGAATATATATTATAGGTAGATAATTACATAGAATATAAGTATAAATAATTCACTAGCGCTCAGAGAATCTAAGTCCATGGTTAGAGGCAAGGTCCATGCCTGCTAATACTGAACTCCAAAGAGGGCCTTCCAAGGTGCACCTAAAAGGTAGTGGCCTAATGAACATGTAGCCTTTGTTGTGTCACAACACAAAATGCTGCAGTGAGACTAGCAGGAAATGACTTGTCATTGCATCCTAAGGACTGAAATTTGACATAACTCTTTTAAACTAAAGTAACTTATTTGAGGCAAGGTGTTTCTTTAAAACTACAACCAGAGAGAAGAGGAGGTGAAAGTGTATTTCTTTTTGTGTTTCTTATCTCAGGTGTGCAGGCCCCTTGACCTTTGAATTGAACTGTTCTACAAATGAATATTGCTTTGCATTTAGATAAGTTTACTTTCATTTGAGCAAGCCTTTGGGGCATGGGCCTGGAGAATGTAGAGGTTTGAAAATATCTGTTTATAGGTTTGAATCTAAATGTGGCTGATATTTGGAGGTGAACTGGATACAAAAGGAACTGCTGTGTACACATGCTTGTTGCACCTTCGGTTTGTATCACAGAAGAATCATGAGGTGAATTTTACTTCACCCACTGAGTAATTAAATGACATCACACAGTTTCTAAGTTGTTCTGATATTTAATTACCTCCTTTTTATAGGAGCAAGAATAATCCATATCCCATAGTATTATAATGAAAAGTATAATTAATGCATCTAAAACTGAAAAGAGGCAACCAATAAAAAGTAGCCATTGAAATTATGGTCCTCTACAATTTGTAAGAGATTATGCATATTTGACCCACTTTCTGACTGTTTAGGAGGAGCTGGTCTTGTTTCTGTATTTCTTTCTTGCAAAATTACTTAGGCATTGCTGAATGCACTACTATTATGTATAGCATCCCAATGAGAGTAAAAAATTTTCTTGGATTTGAAACTACCTAAAGACAAATCTATCTCACTTTTAGAACTTTAATTAAAACTACAGCTCAGGAAATAAGTGAAGATATACAAAGCCAGTTCATTTCTAAGGTGAGAAAAAGACTTTCATCTCAAGTTCATATGATGATCACAGTGATTCTGGTCTTCGGTCCACATAAATGGGTAACTAGTCTCCAGAAATAGGCAGCCAGATGACTTTAAACTATTCTGCACTAAATTGAGAAGAGATGAATATCTTTTCAATAAGAAAGGAAATATCGTATTGTTTGTGCTCTTTTATTTAATCAACTCTCTCTTGTTTTGAAAATTCAAAATGATCATCCTTTTTTAATGAATGAGCCTGAGAGAGAAAAAGCTGATGCTTCACGATGTTTTTAGTGAACAGAGCTTTAAGTAATAGGTACAATGTATTTAGAGATATCAGATTATTTCATCCAGTTTCCTGAATACAGTTTTCCAAGAAAAGTCATTATTTAAGTGGATGTTATATATATATATATATATGTGTGTACACATACATATATACAATATATTTCATATATACATATATAATTGTATGTGGCATATATAACTTTTAATTTTTTAAATATAAAAAATACAATTTTTTTACTCTGACATCCGACAACTTTTGATCTCACTTTCTTTGAATTCATAGTGTAATTTAGCAGTCACTTTGTTTCACTTTTCAATGAACTATGATTTCAGTGCATTTTATAATATTGTTTGTTGTTACTGAGAAATGAGGCTAATTTAACTCCAACCGATCATAATTGGGCATTTCCTGTAGGCCTGATACTCCTGGGTGTGTAAGATGAAAAAAAGCAGTCATTGCCCTTGTATTCTTTCAGATCTCAAGCAGTGGTTCTTTACGGGTAGCAATTTCACCTTTCCATCATGAAGCAATGTCTAAAGATGTATTTTCTTATGGATTCATAATAATTGTACATATTTATGAGATACATGTGATATTTGATACATGCATACAATGTGTAATGATCAAATGAGGGTAGTTAGGATATCCATCACTTCAAACATTTTTCATCGTCTCAGTTGAAGGGGAGATGCTACTGTTATCCGGCTCATAGTGATCAGAGATGCTCCTAAACATTTGACAACACACAAGGCAGCCCTACAAAAACAAAATTATTATATTGAGCCCAAAGTCAACAGTGCTGAGGTTGAAAAACCTGTTTTATATATGGTGAGAAATATGTAATACATTTTATAAGTACTATTCTAGGAACATGAATGACATACTGGGGAAACTTAAAGGAAGGGGAACTGGGGGTAGGGAAATGTTGAAGAAAGCTTTAGGGAGGAAGTGACATTGAGCTTGACACAGAAGAATGAGCCTGGTTTAGCCAGGGGAGGATGGAAAGGCAGAGGGGCATTCTGGGTAGAGATACCAAGATGAGAAAATGTAGAAAACTAATCATGCCACAAAGCTTTTAGTGTATGCAATTATTACAGAGGTAGACTTCAATTCATGGTTATGTACAAATGAGGTTAACATAATTCTATCATCTTCTTTCTGTGGATTTTAAGCTGCATGTGTACAACCTTAGAAAAGAGGCAAAAAATCGTTTTCTACTAGGAGGAGGACACTTTCCCAGCTCCCTGCCTTTAGTTGTCCTACCATGCAGTCAGTATATCTACAGATTGCTAATTTTTGTCAAATATTTCTAGACCTGGAACTCAAGGAAAGGGCTTAAACAGCTAGAACCATCTGGAAGATAGCAAGGTCCTTTTAACTAGACAATGGAGAATACCAAGACCTTCAAAGGCCTCACTGATAGAAAAAACATCACCACCAAAAGAAACAGAGAGCCGCCCAGCATTTTCTTAGATTCTGACGGATTTATGCAGTGACCCAGAGCATGAACTCTGGGAATCCCACCCCCCTAAAAAAAATCTCTTTTTGTATGTTTTTTTTTTTTTTGAAAAGTGATAGAATCTCTTTTTGCTTGCATTTTCCTCTTCTTTAAATGGGTGCAATGATGTCTATATCATGGGATTTTTGTTTTGAAAACTAAATATCATGCCATTTACAGTCAGGCATTCAGGAAGTGCTAAATATTAGTTCTTTTCATATTCCCCATTACAGTCTGAAAACATGGGGGTTTGTCTAAAGACCAGTCAGCCCTGTGTTTTAGGAGACACTATAAGCAAGCTTCTAGCCTTCCTGGTAGACAGAGAAGACATTGCAAAAGATAACTTTATAATAGGAAAAAGCTAAGTGCTGTGGGCAGATAATGAGGTGTTTAAGAACCATCCAATTAACGAAATGAAACAAGTGTGGTACACTCAGTGGGTGCGCTGAAGAAGTCTTTTGAAATGTTGATGCCAATGGCAGACATGGTAATTTTAAAAGGTCCATATTTAAATTAGTAAAAATGAGAAAAGGAAGGAGTTATGTGGGGAGGGAGTAAGGTTGAAAGCAAGCAAGATTAGTTTATATTGAAGAAAAATTCAGTCTCTCCAGTGATTAAAAAACAACCATAAACTCCACCTGGGAAAATAGCATCACTTTTTCTCCCACTGAGCAGTTGGTATTATTAACATTTCTCTTTGCTATTGTGTTTCAACTTGCTTAGATTCCTGATAGTTATGGCAGAATGTAAACAAATTGTTTTCTGCTTCCTATGAGCATAAATACCAGAATTAATATGAATATATATCTCACAAACATGTACCTCTTATTTCTAATGTTTATTTTTTAGTTTCAAATTTCATTAATAGTGAATTTTATTACTATGGAACTACCTACTTATATAATATAATCCAAGAAAGATGAACGTATTAATAAAACTAGGATGCTTTTTCTTATAACCTCATAAATAGTGATTTGAGGGCCCCCTCAAGAATTATTTAAAAATCACAAGGTATATTTCAGTTTCTTTTAGTTAGTATCTTTTCTTCTGGAACAAATATTAGGAATGAGGAAAGCCACATGTTTCTGTTCATATTTCTGGTACTAATAGAAGAGATGACTTTTATCACAGTTAAGTTTATAACAGTTTTATCACAGTTAAGTTTATCACAGTTAAGAAGAATGCATCTATCATATACATCACAGAAGCATCTATATCCCTTAATCACTGCAGAGGTGAAGTACTAAGGCAAAAGTCTACAAAGTTAACCAAAGATAAACTAATACTGAGTACTTGAAGTCTGGAAAACATATAGACCAATTCTATTTTAAATCTTTTTATTCCCTCAGTAATTCATAAAAAAATAGGACTTTAGCAATCTATGGCATGTTTATAAGAATTTAAAGTTTCCAAATATCTGAGGTAGAATTTATAATAGCAGTATAATGATAAAATAGTTAAAAATAATACCTATAAAAATAAGTCTCTATTGAACACTAAGCCCTAGGCACAGTACTAGTAGCAGTATTTTATTTAATACTAAAAACAACCCTATGAAAGAGATAATAACCACATTATTATTCACATTCTACAAGTGAGGAACATAACCCTTAGAATACATTAATAATTTGATTGAATTCAGGCAGCCAGAAACAATGATGAAATCAATTTGATTGTTCAGCAAATCTGCAGTTGTTTTTAATGAAATATATTGAAATGGAAGAAAGAAGTATTAAAGTGCATCACGTATTGTAAGATTTGGTTGGTGACATTTTTCTTTAAGTTTTGAAGGCATAGGAAGGCAGCAAGTAGGGAGGGTTGTGTTGTACTGTGGAATGAATTTCTCACCAGGAGATATGATAGAAAATCTATAAATTTTGGAGCATCTACACTAGAGAATACTCTTCCCCACCCACCCCTGTAATGCTGTTACATAATCCAAACAAAATAAATATAAATGTCTTATTTTGTATCTTCCTGATTGGCTCAGAATATTTAAAGGCCCGAAAGAATGAATCTTGCTCAGTATCTCAGCCAGTTCCTTTGGATTAAGTATAAAGAAATATAAGACAGAATAGATGGCATCCTAATTCAAGACAGCTAATTAGCAGCATATTTGAGAGTAGAATATGTGTAGCCTACTACTGTTAGGTGTTGTGTTTTTCACTCTTTTCGTTTTTCTTTATTCTCCTAGGAATTGAGGATCATATTAATAAAGCATCAGAAATAAGTTGTAGGATGACAGCACCTACTCATTGATTATCTGTAACATATGTGAGCTTTTCCATTATAATCAAATTACAACAGTGACTATTCATCAAGTCCTGAAGTTTTGCCTCTTTGGCAAAACACTATGTTTAAGTATAAGCCTTGACTTTTATAAAGGGTGGGGCTTTTAATACAAATGAGAAAAAAGGTATTTATTCATAAATAACATAGTAACATATGAAAATAATAGGTTAAAAGAGTTTTCAAGTGAAATGTATGGAGTTATAGTCTTCAGAGGGAGAGGAAAGAGGTAACTTTGGCTTAGATGATAAGTAAGGAAATTGTGTAAGAGATGAATTTGAGTACAGTTTTAAAATAGTCTCAGGATATACCCAAGATTAATGAAGATCTAGTCAACTTTGAAATGCATATTAGACTAATGGATGAAAAAAAACAGATTGTCACAACAAAGCTCACAAACCAAGTAGCGGAAGAATGAACTGCTTAACTGCTGAATGACTCTTTAGGGCCCATTGATGTTATAATGCAATTTTGACCTAGTTATTCTTGAGCTATTCATTGGAAAAACTCTATATATACCATTATTTCAATCTGAGTGCAATGGAATAGAATATGTCAATATCTCTAGTACAATATAAATAGCAATAATCAATACTTTAAGGTCAAATTTTCCCTCTTCCTTGAAGCCAATTCAACATATACATTGTTGCATTATACTTAGAACTTAAATATTTTCCTGATTTTTAGAAACAAATTTCTCGTGCCTGCATCTGTGCTACTTAAACAGATTATAAACTTCTAGCTGCTCTTGACTTTTTCTAATCACATTCCCAGTTCTTTGCACATGCTAGCTACATGATGAGTGAAGATTTCATGAGTGATTAATAGACATAAGTTTTCTGTGTATGGTTATAGAGTGATAAAATTAACTTGTCAAATTCTCTTGCATTTCTATGGTATTAACTACATTTTACCAATTACTATAGCTATTTATGTACTTGGTACATTCCCAATTAACTTTTAAAGTGTTTGTGGCAGATAGCAACTCTTACTTCTACTTATAGACCCCAGCACACTGTACCAAACACACTACCTGCACTTAGTAGATGTTAAATGAATATTTGTCAAATGGAAATTGAAAAGTTAAAAATATATATATAATAAATGATGTACATAGGAAGCCTAGCATAGAATGAGTACATGGAGAGGTCTCAGTAAATATCAGCTAAATGAGTGAACTAGTCATGAATTCTAATTCTAACTTTGGTCACTAGTTGTGAGGCATGGTCACATCCCTTCTTTCGGAGACTCAGTTTTCTCGTCAATAATATAAGATGTTTAGATTTGAAGAATAGTTTTCTAACTACTTTTCAGAATCTAGGAAGGTACTTCATGAGTCCCATGAAAAATCAGTGTTTTCTTAACCAATATTTAAAGTGCTTTAGCTTAGCTTGGGCCCAAGATATTCTTTAAAGGATGAGCTCCATTGCTAAATTGTTTGAAAAATATTGATGTAGATTCCAGTGTAGAAATGTACTTCTTTCGAGCCAATTTGAACACGTGAAACATAAAAGTCTATCTTGTTGTCATTAAATTACAATACAAGAAATGGACAAGAAGTCCTGTTATTCCAGAAGTCAAATTTAAATGAATTTGACTTTAATTTTATATGAATAATTGAAAACAACATTAATTAATTGCAAAGTCATGTAACAGTTTCTTTGTTGCAGAAAGAAAGAAATGTATGTTCATTTGTCATGAATACCATGAAGTGCTTCAAAGAATAATAATTTTTTTCAGAGTGGTATTATAATTTTTTTTTCTTTTCCTCATTCCATATTGTCATTTTAGTTAAAAGAGGAGCATGGTTAAAACATTCTACTGAATTGCTCCTTTGATGAACACTTGGGTGGTTTAGGGGCTTGTTTACCTCTCCCCAGACAATTTAGATTGGCAGTTGGGAAGTAAAAGTTTGCTCATTTGATTGTTTTATTGGAATATAAAGATGGCTATTGATTGATGTTTTTTAGACTCTAAAATCAAAGATGCTGAGCCTGAGACATTTATCAGTGGCTTAGTATTAATCACAATAATAATGGTAAATAATAGTAGTAATAATAATAAGAAGAAATGTAGTTAATTTTATTAGTTGTTTACTTGTGCCAGACAGTGGGCTAATCTTTTAAATATAAAATTGAATTTATTTATCATGACCATGCTGTATGGCAGGTTCCATTATGACAGGAGAGAAAATTGAAGACTTTTCCCAAAGTTAAGACTTACTATGTGATGATTCCGGATCCTTTGAACATAACCATTTATTAAGAATGGAAATAAAAGGACACACATAGATTTCACGTAAGGTAGAGTGTAATGAGTGTTATAGGAGAGACATATGCAATTATAATTCTCTAAGATCATTCATTCACTTATTGATTCATTCATTTAGTTGTGCAGCTGTCCTCTGAACATTCACAATATTCCTTTTTTCCAGAATGCCAGTGATAGCAGGTCCTTAGAGCACCACCCATACTTTCATCATCAGAATTCCTTTCTCTTGCATCCTTGAAATCTGGTCACAGAGCCCTGTTACCAAGTACCTTTAGCAATAAACATGTTCCCTACAGTCAAGGGATGTCTGTTGCTTGGTTTCTGAAGATGGGAGTTGGGCCAAACTTGGTTTCCCTGTACCATCCGTTCTTGGCTTTACTTAATATAACCAGTTAGAAATTTATGATCATCCTTTTTCAACAAGTTGATCCTTCTCTGAGGCCGCTATTTGACTCCCTCTCATTTTTATACATCTTTCTTCAGAGTTAACATTGTCATGTTTCTATAAGATTAAAACAATGCAATCATATAAAGTGTTTAGGACAGTGCCCAGCACATAATAAACACTCTATAAATAATAGATGACAATAATGATTGTACTAATAACATTGTTATCTTTTAGATGAGACAGTTTTTCTAGAATTCTTATCTTCTAGGTTGACTACATTTTATATACAATTACTTAGGTATATATACTAGTTTTCCTTAAATGTGTCACTGCCAATAGGACACAGTACTTCAGATTCATTTGCATATGTTATAAAAATGAGCTCAATCAATTAAACTCTGGTTTAATGATTGGCTTAATTAGTCAATTACTAGAGACATTGACAGTACCCACTTTTGCATTTGTAATATCTGGGTTCTGCTGCCACCATTTTTTTTTCTTTTTTTCAGCCACTGGGTTTATGGTATGGGTTCTGCCTTCTTGAATTATTATATTTAAATCCCCCACACCATTTAATGACAATGGAGATTAGGTCTAGATGATCTCTTTAAGATTTTAAAAACTTAAACCATTACCCGACTTTCTGATTTCCCAATAGAAAACAATAATAATGAAAAGAAGAAAAAGGGAAAAATGGAACTTATTTAAAAAAATAAAAGTCATTTCAAAGATACTGACCCATACAAGAATGACAAATGGAAGATAAGTAAAAGTAGTTAAAACATTGCCAGCGACCATGACAGAATCTCTATTCAGAGGCTGAATTTGTCTTTTATTTATTATGCATACCAACTCTTTGTTTATTAACATAATAAAATTGTAATACAATAAAAAAAAAAAGGTTTTCAAAAAAGACCAGACCAGGTCAGACAGCTGATTAAAGGATGCTAAAATGTGCAGCTCCCTGGAGCCTAAAGTCCCTTTTAAGCTTGATTTTGAATGACTGGTCCAGGCAGGGAGTCTTCTAGGAGGAAATGCATCTTTGTCTGGGGTTAAGTCAAGGGCTAAACTCCCAGGGCTCCAGTGAACCTTGAGGAGAAATTCCTGAGGCAGAACCCAGACAGAGGGAGTCATCAGATCCTCAGAATGGGGAGGAGAGGATTTACCATCACTCTGGGATGAGTTTCAGTTGCAGCACTTCTCAGGCGAAGAGCATGCCTACAGCCTTTCTCTTCTGCTTTGCTTGTATGTGGTGGCTACTAGCAACCTATATGGTTCTGAAGTGTCCAGCAGAGATTATAGGATCAACCAGCGGGAACATCAATAGTGCCAAGTGGCATTTTAAAATCTTTTCAAATTTTTGTATGTTGCTTTTGAAGAGGGAATATTCTAGGTTGTGGTCTCTATTCTTGCAGAATAATGGCATTTTCAGGCTATATGGACCTTTCATCATCTAGTCCAATCACCTCATTTTACAGATCAAGAAACTGAGGCTGAGAGAAAAGGGACTTGCCAAGAGTTACTCAGCTAATCAGTGACAACAATGGAAATTGCGGTAAGTTGTGTGGCCTCTTGGGGCTTTTCCTTCCAAATCTATAATGTGGAAATAGGAGATAGATCAAGATGATCCCTTTAAGATTTTTTTTCTTATTATAATATTCTGATTCTGTGACTTTTAAATTTTAGACACCTGACCATTATTCAATGACCAAGAGGCTTTTATAAAGATAATGCATTTAATGCCTAAATGAGAGTGTTTAAACATTTGGATAAGGCTTTAAGTTCTAATTAACATTTTTGCTTTCTATAGAGACATTTGTTTTAGAATGTGACCTAGATTTGGATTAAACATTTTGAAATACAACCTGCTTTTTAATATAGTTGGTAATTTACTATGTTACATCCTAACACTATAAAAATCCTATCACTATAAATAACTTCTTATTGAAACTATAACATATGTTTAATATTATTACCTATGTTGATTTACTCATTGCTTAAAAAGTTCAGATCACATGAGTGAGTAAAGCCACTAGAAGGTCATTCCATACATGATAGAAATGCCCAATTAGGTTTTGGTTAGTTGAAAATCAAACTCCATTGATTATAAACATGGATTGGATTATTTTTTTCATTTCTTCAGCAGACACATTTTAGACAAGCTGACAGCAGATCTATGTAATGGCCACTATAAAAGCTTTCATCAAGAGTGTACATGTTTAGTGTCTTTGTGTGGGATAAACTGGGTTATGTTAGTTGAAAAGGCAAAAGATTCAAGAGTAATACAGATCTGGGCTTTTAAGTTCTTGGCTGCATGGTTAATGCAATTAGAATTCTCTAATTCTCAGGTTCGAGAGTTGGTTGATTATAGGGGAAAGCCTTCTGCATCTTCAAGCCATTAGCCATGGGGGTTCTCAGACATTTATTTATGTAAGTGGCATAGCAAGTTATGTGTAATAATAATCACAGGGATATCATAAGAATCAAATGATATAATGCATATAAAAGAAATGTGTACGTTCTAAACACTACAGAAATCTTTTGTCCTTTTGTATTGCCTATTAAAACAAATAGAGGCATAGAAAAACATTGAGGGGTAAAGAAGGAAAGGGTGTAGGAAGCAAATACTTTATTTTTCCAATAAAATGATGGATTAGAGAAAAGAGACTACCAAGCAAATTAAATATCATTGCTAGACTATTCGATGCCCATGCATCTTAAAAATGTTACCTACATTAGAGTCACTTTGAGATTTTGTTAAAACACCAATTCTGATTCAGGTTGTCTGGGGGGAATTGTGAGATTCTGTATTTCCAAACAGCTCCTATGTGATGCTTATACTGCTGGTCTCCAATATTTTGTGTAGCAAGATGTTATACCTTCACATTAAGAGATGTAACAAAAGCTCAGCTAAGTATCTCTCCAAGAAAGAAATATTTATTTTTCAGGGTTTATATGTCAAGGGAGTACCATACAGCCTGGCCAACACTCACTTTGCCACACCATAAAGGAGCTTTCTGCTCTTTCTGGTTTTATTTTTAAGTGTCGAGAAAGCACTCAGCTTCCACTGCTTGGTTGGGGTTTCTGGCTGATAGATAGCAGCTAAGGAGGAGTTTAAATCTAATAGAATTAGGAATAAACAGGATCTAGAGAGTCCACACATTACTAAGGCAGTAGAGTTGCTTCTTGTTTGGTTGCAAGGTCTTATCTAATAGAGGTCTCTAATGCTGCCTTAAGAAATTTGGATATGTGATTGGTTGTCTTACTTCCCTTGGCACATTGCCTACTTACATTGACTAGGATCACTGACTTTCCTAATATAAATATGAACAGGAAGAAACAGATGTCAGATTACCTTCCCTCCTTTTTTACATTTAAATTCAATTCAACAAACATTTACTAATTATTAGGCAACACAGTAGTTACAAACTATGCACTGTGAGGAACATATGGATCAAAAAGGAAGGTAGGTTTCAACTATTGTCAGTTTACCTATAGAGGATACAGACATTAAAAATAACCAAATATCAGGTAGTTTGAGCTTTAACAAATCCTAAATTTGGAAATAACCTGCTTAGAGATCTGAAAGAAATTGAAATCAGTTTTTCCTGGGAGTTAGAAAGGCTACATGAAGTGGAAAGACTTTGAATAAGGATTTAAAACATAGTGATTTGCCCATGGAGGCAGAGAATAGCTTGAGACCAAGTTTTTGTCATATCGTAGGCATATTAATGGAGAGCAAAAGCAAAGAGATATAGGTTAGTGTGATTCAACTAGCACCATGCTGAGATTAAAACATCTTTCTTTGGAATTCAGCCTAAAGTCTAGGTTTTGTGTGGGACTGTTGGAGGTTAGGGATGCCATATCAGGGCAGTGTTTTTGCTGCTTCTCTCAAACTTTGATTTTCCCCACTGGGCCTAGTTCCCTGGGCCCTGTGGAAGAAAGATCATCTTTTATATAAACATTTTCCTTTAGCAAATGGAATATAGCACTTCAGTAGGTACGTAAGTCAGAGACAGGAGAAAAAGGAATGGTTCCAAATTCCCTTAAAAATGTATTTTCATATTAACCCACTTACTCATTCTTTGCAACTCTGACCCTCAGATATGATTAGAATTTTCATTTCTTTAACTTAGGTAAATTTAAATTCTTTTTCAAATAAATGTTTGCCATGATAGTTACTTTGGAGTATTTGGTTGATCATAAAGAAGAAGCCTTTTATATCTCCTCTTCTTTAATATTTTGGTACTTAGCCATTTTTTAAAAAATGATTCTGCTACCCTTCTCTGATTCCTGATTGCCCTGGTTAGTGCTGTTGTCTGGATAGGATGGGGCTGAGGCATTATTTGGTATCACCAGAGTCCATGCAGTGTGTGAATTGAGTGTAGAGAGAAGGGAAGATAACTAAAGAACATTAACCATTATCAAAATCCAAGAGAGAGTTTGGGTCCATAGTGAAGAAGTAAAATAAATTCAAAATTCACAGGTATTTAAGAGCATATCAGGAAATAGTGGCTAGAGCAGGGCCCCATTGAAGAATTACAGTGTGAGGTATTTGTTGTTGCTGGGTATTGATTGTGTTGACCGAGATTGGCTTAAAGATACAAGAAAAGACTTGAAAATACCACTCTGTCTCCTTTATTGCCCACCCTGGAAAGACATTTTCTTAAGAGCACAATCTGAAACTTGCACTGCTACATAAACTTTGGATCCTTTTGAATTCCACCTAGCAAAACAGTGTACCACCACTTGTGCTAAATTTGTTTAAATGTATCTGCATTAATTAAAATCCAGGAAACTATGGACAATAATGAGTCTAATGGACATTAGAGTCTATGAGACTCTAATGTTTTGTAAACTCCATTCAGCTGTGGCTGTTTGCAGTTCACTTTGCATCCTTTGTCATTTGCTCTGTCATTGTTTATCCTTCCTTAAATTCTCTCCTCTCCTTCTCGAGCTCGAACTTTGGCAATATAGGCAATAGGAACATTATTTTGATTTTTGTCAAATCATGCTATCAATTCCACATTCCTGGTAATAACCAAACTTCAGGGGCATAGCTCTTTCATACTGATAGGTGTTTTGACAATCATCTGGCATTTATCCCCCTTGTTTTATAATTTAAAACAAACAATTAGATGAAAAACCCAAAACATTGAAAGGAAATATGGAGAAACATAGAAAGCAAATGAAGAAATGATATCAACATTTATTGGGTGCCAACATATACCAAACATTTTGCTAGATTCTTTATATACAAGGTGCTACTTAATCCTTGCTGTGACTTTGTGTTATGATTGTCATTGTGTCCACTTTATCAGTGTTCAAATAGAGAGTAAGAAAAATTTTACTCAGACATAAAAGTCATGCAGATACTCATCAGTAGACCTGTGGCAGGAGTCTGGATTTCTAACTGCCCTCTACTCCCAGGCTGAAAACTGCAGATGGTGAAAGTACCATCCTTTCTTTTTCACAAAGTAGCTTGAACTATGTCAAAATAAGCAATTTCGATAAAAGGCAGAAGACGGATAAGAATCAAGTTATAGACACATTCCTTTCCAGCTAGATTACTCTCTTCATTTACTTTAAACTTAACATATATAGGCAGCTTGATGGCAGTAATAATCCTTTTACATGAATATGACCTGTCTGTGCCTTATTCAGCAATATAGAATTGTGCTGGGTACTCTCTGAGCTGTTTAGCACGTTGATACATAGTCTGTATGTGCTTCATATGCAGAAATTGCTTTTTAAAACAAATCAGGATTTCTGTGTTTTTTCCTTTGTAACCCATATCTAGACTTTGGTGTTACTATTAAATGGTGTTCTCAGTTCTGCACATTTGTTCTTTAAAGAGCTCGTATTAAGCTCTTGCTACATACTAGAAACTGTGTTAGGAGCTGTATTTGTCAGGACTATCTGAACTCTGTCTGCAGTGATAACACATAGACCCTGAGTCTCAGTGCTACAACACTACCAAAGTTTATTTTTTGTGCATGCACAGTCTACTATGGGCCTTACTATTCTTCAGAGCAGCTCCCTCTCAAGTCATATGTCAGGGGGCCAGTCTGCTTTTACCTTACAGCTTTTCCATCTCAATGTGTGTCTTCTAGATTGCTATCACAGGGAAAAAGAGAGCAAGAGAGCTGGGGTGCCTTGGGGACATTTTTTCTGCCTTACAGTTATCTCCTTCCATGAGAGCTATGCAGTCATATGAGAAAAATAATAATTACAAGGGAGTATTTAGGGCTATATTACAATTTGGCAGGGCCTATAGCTCCTTAAGCCAGCAGCTGCTGTTCTCTTTAGAGAGTTTCTTTTTCATTGAAATAATTGACTTGGGATTTAAAAATTCCTGTCTTCTCTTGTGCTCATACTGTCTGCTTTTTAAAAAAAAAAAAAAAAAATAGAGGTCAAAATGTGTTTAAAAACCAAGCCTAGATCTTAGAGGTTCCGCCCCCCCCCAGCAGTGGCTTTGTGGCAGCTGTTTTTTCATAAAGTGAAGAGAATTTTCCATGCCCACTGTGAGCCATGACAGGCAGAATGAAGCTGTGC